ACAGACAACACACTACCGTATAAAACAGATGATCCCTCCAGGAAGCCTTTGGCCCTTCCCTCTTTCGGAGAATTTTTTTATTTTATTTTTAATTTTGCATCTCTTTTACATACTAAATACAATAAACTTAAACCCACAAAGAAACTATCCTTAGAAATACTACCAACATATCAGTAGAAACACTGGATATCATGTTATGTAAAAACAAAACCTTAATTGCTGGCAAAACAAGCTCCTGACTGTTCACTACCACAGTATCTAAACTTGTAAGTTAAGCCTGAAAATACTAAATCCAAAATCTTTATACAAGTAGTAATTCTAGGCGAATATCTCTAAGGGCTCACTCACTCTTATAAATCTTCATCTTCTTTGGTTACAAGTTAATAACAAAACGTTTTCTTGTAACTTTATAAGATTGTGGTAAAACAATCATTGAGAGAGTTGCAAGTATGTAAAATTGGGGATTTTCTCAATATGAAATATAAATATCTTTCCAGCAAGTGCAATGTATACGTGTACGTGAAAGAACATAATATAGGGCGAAAAAGTGTCACATATAGCACGTGCCACTGATACTCCAATTTTTTTTCTTCTGACATTTCCAAGTTTTTCATTGATATTTTTTTTTCTTTCTTGCCGTTTTACTGACATTTATTTCCTTAACTTTAGTTTTTCTGGAATTTCCAGATCTGAGGCCGCTTTGAAAATACATTTTTATGTCCTGGAATAAGAAATTTGTAAATGCTTATGATATCAGATTCGAACGCTAGTCTCTATAGAATACCAAGTACTTGAAGACATTGCAAGTTTACGTATGGAGATTAATTTCTTTCTACTGGTTTCTCATCAGCCTGTCTGTAAAAACAAAACTTTCTATACGCAATTACACATTTATTGATGTACTTAATATACTTTTAAACGCATTATTACATACATATCAATAAAACTCGTCACACATTCCTACTAAGATCCTTTGTCATTCAGCTATAATTTTTTCTTGAATATTATACACAAACATCTCTCTTCATGAGATGGCGTCATTCATTCCGCTCGCTACATTTATTTGAGGTAATAATACAAAAGGCCATTATAAGTGTCGTACTGTATACACAAATGTCCAACACAAGAGTTTGAAAGGCTTCCTGTAAACTTGTTTTTTTAACGCAAAGCTACACAATGAATGGGCTATCTGTGTCCTGTCCATCGCGAGGAATCAAATCTCGAATTTTAACGCTGAAATTCCGAAAACCTACGGGGGGGAGGCGTCTTGTTAGTAGTTCTGGTGTCTCCCACTGATGAAGTTTTAATATTCAAAACTAAAGATAAAACATGAAAGAACGGACTAACATACAGGCCTATTATCCTCGAAGGTAAATTTTGTTTGTTGTTAAGTGTAACGCTGCATAAAGGGCTATCTGTGCCGTGCCCATCGCAGGGATTGGTGTGTTATAAGTTCACAAGGTTGCCGCCAGGACACCGTAGGGGACACATTTACTTTCAGAATCAAATATAAAAACAATCAGATGATAACAGATAACATTTTCTTTGGTATCTACAGAAAATGTCAGGTCGATATATCTAAATTACAGCAAAAATCTTGGGAGTTCAGTCTGGACTTCTCTTACTTTTACTTTGGTTCAACAGTTTCCGACAAATTATACTTTTAGATGAAAGATTAAACTACACCACAACATTCTATTGTGGTGAGGCGAATACTAAGTTAAACCAGGTGCTAGACTTCATGCTGTACCACGGAGTACAGATGGCTGATGTGTACAGTCCTGTATTTGTTCAGAAGGTGTGTGAAACAGCTGTGCTTAACTAACAACAGATTTAACGTTATTCTACTGTGATCACCAGAATGATCGAAGGATATTTCCTTTTCTTTGGCTAATATTCCTCGCTCATGTGCAACATAGGATGATTAAAATCGACAAATTTTCATGTGACGTTGTTGTATCATAAAGCTATAATAAGTTCGAATACTTATAATAATTTTTACAACCGCTTCTCTTTACACGGCGGTTGTGATGGCAGACATTCTAAATGACTCACTTTTTCCCGAGTGATAAGCCTACCTTGCCAAAATCTCTGACGATTTCGAACCTTTCTCCTCCTGACCAACTTGTTTGGACTGTCATCCTTGGCTCGGCTGGTCTTGTTTGCACTGGATGTGGGAACGTTGTTGAAGTGAGAGTTCACGTGCCTTTCCAAGGCATTCTGGGAAGTAAACCTGTGTCCGCAACCGTCGACGATGCACTTGAAAGGCTTGTTTCCTCCATGAGTTAACGTGTGCCTCTGTAGCCAGCTGAGCGAGCATGAGGGCCGATTGTACACCTGAAAATAGTATGAAACGTATAAATGTCTAGTTTTAGTACTTTAAAATGTGTTAGTTCGAGAAAGAATGGATAAGTATATCAAAATAAGACACATCTAATGCGCAAGTCCTTCAAACTCACTCCATTACAAGTTTAGAACTCTATAATGTGACAGATGATGGTAGAAAAACTAAAACATAGCGTATGATTACATAAAAACAATACGAGTCGTCTTTCTAAACGCGTTCCAAGAAAATTTTAAACAACTTGGAATGCACTAAAACTCCGAGGGGGAATAAATGACGGAAAACTTGAAATATCAATCAACCATAATGCTGACTGGAATAAATCGTTCAGAAAAAAAAGTTTCATGCATCATCAGCGAGATGCCTGCTTGTAGAACAACGCCCTCCATTTGAGTCTGCGAACAATATGCTTGAGAAATACCTTTTGAAATGAAAGCATCTGGAAGTTCAATCCATAAATGACACAAATAAAACTTCATTACACTCTCTAAGTTTTAACGTCAAGAGATTTTGGTACAAGGAATGATATCCATAAATTGCAACTAACCAGCTTTATACTTTCGAAATAAAAAAATGTGGTATGTTGTTATAAAATTTATGGGCTTGAGGTGATCTAGTAATTAGAATAACAGGTTATGGATTGGAAGATCCAAGGTTTGAGTAATTATATAAATACATTTTACACTTTCAGCTTTTAGGGTTAGTTTAATTGTGAAAGCAATAGGTGCTTGTACTTGGTAGCCTTTTCTTTGGTCGTGAATTCTAAATCTGGGATGGTTTTGCATGAATCTTAGGGTGTCACTCAGGTTGAAAATACCAAATACTAATTACAAAATTTATAGATAAGGCTCTAATCTAACTTGAACAAGTGAGTCATTGCAATAATTTCATAGGTTGAAAATGTTTTTTTAAGTGGATTACATTACTGGTGCCTAAAAGCCACAAAAGATATAAACAGTAATCAGTAATGTATGGTGTTCTACCAGTACATCATTTTTTTACACCTGACTGCCAAATTTCTTCAAAATTGTACGGTTTCTACTCAAAGATACTATCACAAGACAAATTTAAGCTTAAAGTTAAAATTGACGTTAATTTAAATCATTCAAACCATTTTCCAGTGGACAATACATTCCCAATACTTTTTGTGAGCTGCAAACAGATTAACATGGAACTTTTCCTAAATAAAACTGATAGCTTACAGGTACCTTTGTTCCAGAACTCTGTGTGTTAACTGTTGGATAGAAATACTTTATTGTGAAAACTGTCCCCAGTAAAGTAATTCATTGATATCAAAGCCTTTACCCATTTATCACTGAAATGATGACCTTATAAGTACACTTCTGATTTCAGGTATATATATATATATATACATTCCTACTACTAAAATCTATTTACATTTTTTGGCTAAAGTATCTGCTTAAGTTTTTTATAGGAAATAACATTTTCCACACCAAAAACTCAACAAAATTACCTCAAAAGGTCAAAAAGCTTTAAACAAATATATATAATCATGCAAACTGATAAGTTATGTTTCTTTGACTCATGACAACACAAAGTGTAAAATTTGGCACCAAACATGCTCTGTGGATGCACCACCTCGGTTTTCTTTGCCCATAAATCTTGAGTCCAGAAAGCATAGTAAAAATGTCTGTAGCATTCAATAAATCACCAATTTGGTAATCTAAAGAACAAACATCTCCTGTTGAACTTGATGTCTATCAAGTAATTAACATCATGACCAGCAAGTCAAAATGTAATTGTTCATATTCAAAGCAGCTCTCATAAAGCTGCAGTGAATCTATACAAATACAGTAAGACATGCCAGTTATTGATGTTTTACATTCATGTCAGAGAAGCTCTTGGAAATAAATATAAATTGAAAGGAATCAACAATATACCAAGATATATACTTATATATCATTCCCTTTTGTACCAAATATTAAGTTATTTTCATATCAACATCTAAACTGTAAAAGAATCAGTAAACTGTAAAAATATGAAAAAGTAATAAAAAGTCTTTTCTTTTACTTTCACTTTGATCATTGTTTTTAGTTGTTGTTTTTTTTTGGGGGGAGCACTAACTAAAATTAAACTGAAATCTATGATAAAAAAATTACTGAAGATCATTTGATTAACTAACAATTAGAACCAAGTATATTACTAAAGTCTCATAACTTAATTGTTACTGGCCTAAAACATAAATGGACCTATATGAAAACTTTTGCATTGTATGTTTCTATATATATAATGTCTCAGATGCCCTAATTCAATACACAATACTCCCATGGTTAGAACAGTGCTACCAATTATTCCCTGTATAAACTTAATGCAATGAACAGTATCACTGAAAGAGAAAATGTACTTCAATTTAAATTTAGTTGTATTACTCAACCCCAGTAGTGTTTTATTTAGTTTTAACAAATACACCAAACTAGATATAAGTCAATAGAACCTTTTAATGTCCAACAAGCACTTTAGATTAAAAAAAAACTAGTTTGTTCTAAAAACAATGCAGGTAAGTAAATGTCACTTAAAAATTTCTAATATGCAGCATATTTACAGGAAATATCTGATGGTCAGATTTACTCAGGCTCGAACAGAAAGCTACAATTCATCTTAAATTCAAGAGTAATAGCTAATTACTTTTTTATTCCTGTCATTTATAAAGTAATATTTATAATTAGAAATAAGAGGCTGACACACACTTTGGTCAACAATATGTTATGTTAGGTCTTGTCACTCACTGATAGGTCACAGTTTAGTAAAAGAAACAAAGTTATTTTATTATTTCAAATATTGTTACACTGAAAACTGTAATTTTACACCTCATTACATCAGTTCCCACTATTTACGAGAATAACAAAATCCTTCAGTTTAACATCTTGTTACATACCCACCTGCTTTTTTCACTGTCATAGCTCCTACTTCTTCAAGAAATACATCTTTTTCTGCTGTTGTCATTTGAAATCACTACTTAACACTGCACTTACAGCTCATACACACAGTTGTTATGCCATATTTTCCATTGTTCATTAGTGCACGTACTAGTTATGCCATCTTCTACTTCTCAGACTATTTTTATTTATTTATTATCATTATTATTACACAAAAATATCCCAGAAGTACGCTTATATATCTTACATTTTTATATATTAATTAGTACACATATTTCTTGTACCATATATTCT